GTTCTGTATCAAAACCTGAATCTACCTAATTTATCTGGTGTCTAGGACTCAATTGGTGTTGATTCTTGTGAGGTCATGAAAAATATGCCAGCAGTAGGTTTAATCTTTGATGTTTTACTTATTTTATTCTGATATGTTAAACTCAATATACAGTTATCTCCTCTGAGCTGGCCTTTATAGAAAATCTACCAGATGTACAGAACCTCTACACTGAGCACCCACTAAAGGCAGGAGAAAGTACTAGAATTTGTATTGGCACTCATAAATAGCGTGTCAGTGTTAACATTTTTCCCTGGAAAAATCCAGAGATTTTAATGGGGCCATAGATGGACTGAGGTTTGTAAAAACTGTTGTCACCTCCACTAACAGTCTTCTACAGACCATACCTCAGCAAAACAATAAATAAAGCCCTTAAATTACACAAACTCACACTGGTTGGAGACTGATTTCTGCGGAATAATGCTTTTGCATCAAACATTTCTGTAGCACAGATAAAAACAGTATATTATACTCAAGCTTTAAAAAATATATATAGACAATTGTTTCTGGTTGTGAGAAGTTTTATGAATATGTTTATAGGCAGAAATCAGCCATAAAAGACACAGACTATAAAACACTGGGAGCTATAGAACAGAAATCATTGTCCAAAGCACTTTCTAAACTTCAGAAAATGATCACAAAATTGTAAAAGTACTTGTCAGATTTGAAATACAATCTCAGCAAAGAGTTTATTTGCATCAACATGCTGTTAAAAGGATGTATGAATAGTGAAAGTAAGGCGCTGCGGAAAAAAGTGTATTTCTAAACCAAATTATGTCAAATTCAAATAAAATAGCAACCTGACAACAGCTTGCGTAACAATAATATGATTTTTAGATATGCAAATCAACTCCAAGTGCCAGGCAATCTTCCAGGCTAACATGTGACTGACCGCATTAAGGTCATACGCCATACCAGGCTTGAGAATCTGCAGTGCAAGGGAACAGAATAACATACTGACCACCTAATTTTCTTCCTTGAGAACATGCAAAATATTTGTAAATGTACATCCATAACACACGAATGGCCCCTCTCACTGTGAGGCCTCAGCCCTACAACCTTTGCCATACTCACATCCAAAGTAGCCTTGTGATGGTGAAGTGAATCTATTTCCTACTTTATAAATGAGAAATTGAGTACAGAAAATGAAAATATCTCCTCAAAGGTTACAGAGGAAGGTTACAGGGATGCCTCTCATTTCTAAGCTAATGCAGTATTTGCCAAATTATCGTTCTGGCCCTCTCCTATATGGTTCTCTAGCTTCCTTTCCCTTTAAGGAGGTCTGAAGATGACGCACCTACCTCAGAAGGCAAACAGACCATTACAGGAAAGAACACTCAGAGAACAAGAAACTAGAAAACTACTAACTTTCCCAGAGAGCTGTTGGAAATTTTGGTGTCTAGCAAGTAGCGGAACGCTCCTCCTTGATTCAGGTTTCAAGCTTGAGCTGCTATTCAGTGTTGCAACTCAGTGTTGTTAGGCCTTCCCCCATCTTTCACTTCCTCTTATCGTAATGTTATACTTACACATACAAAGCTGTTCTGAGGACTGTGCAGTCCTTCCCTCTGCTAATCAATCTGTGTTGTATTAATCCTACTAGTATGCACTTTCCAAATAATTTTTTGAGGTGAGCTGTTGGATGTTTTCCTGTCTGGTTGAAAAAATGTTGCTGTGGACACAATGGACACTGATGCCTCTTTTCTGATAAGACATTTGATAACATGAATTGATGTTATGTAAGGGCTGCCAGGAAATAGAAAGTCATCCCCAGCAGGCTTGGGCATATCAAACTTCTGCTTTAAACTTCCACAGAGCTTTTAGCACAGACAGGCTATTAAATCATATAATCTGACATGCTATATATCACAGCCCATTATAGTAACGAGGTTACCCTATTAGTTTAAGTGGCAATTGCTTGGGTTAGGCTAACTCTTCCAGAGACTAGAGTGTTTAGCACCACAGAAAGAGAAACAGTAACATGAGAGCATGCTAGCAATGCCCCAGACTTCTGCCATGGCAGGGAAACAAGTCAAGAGAGATACAGCCAAGGTGATCCTACTCACAAAGGGAGATCTGTCTTGCACACTTGCCATAGACACATGGAGGTGGATTTAGCATACCTTGAATAGCAGCAACACACATCTTTCAGAAACATAGCTAACTTTAAAGACTAAACGAGATCCATTTCTCCTAGGATGGTATAAGGGCAAATCTCCGAGAATTCACATAGGAGCTTTGACTGAAAAATATATTTTACATAGTTATACTTTCGATATTTTACATAGCTATACTTTGGTTCAGTGAAGCCTCTAGGAAGTTTGGCATTGCCAATGACAAACTGTACGTGAACCAAAATAATAAATATCAGAGATGAATGCAGCCTGATTCAAAGGCAGTTACAGGTCCACCATGTGACCCACCAGTTGGTGCTAGTGCACCATCTGTACCTAATTTGAACAGTGGGCAGAGCCAGAACCTTCTGTGACAGTTATACTTTCCTAAAGTTATAAACATCAATTCATATCTTGGGGTAAAGTTACTTGTTGTGAACAATTGCAAAGGGATTGAAAATGGGTGTGGATGTACATCAGGAAAACCTGGGATAAGATGTATGCAGTGAAGCTCCACACTGTCTGTGTAGCACTGTAGGTATATGAGCAATAAGACATGTCCTTGCTCCTATTGCTGATGGATCAGAACATTCAGATTCTTCACAAATAAGTGAGCCTTATACTGAAAGACTGTGTCCAGTAACAGAATGCCTGTCAACAACTACGGTGGTGGAGTACAGCTAAATAAATAAAGTAGAAAAGTCATTTAAGAGATAGTAACTCTGCTGGCATTGGAGTTCCGTAAGCTGCATGCTACTGTCACACCAAAAACCCACCTGATAACACTTTACAATTTTCTCTGCCAACGTCCGCTGCAGCAGTATTTTGATCATGCGCATATGGAAAGCAAATACATCATTCAGATAATGTAATGACTGCTCTAAGGTCTTCTGTAGTTTGATCTATTTTTTTTAATGTACATTACTTCTTAGGCTGATGTGACCTTTTCTGCTTAACACACGTACTGTGCTGGCATTTTAAATGGGGGTGGGGGGGAACCTCATCAGCACTATTTTTGGATCACATACCCCATTATTTGGTGGTGTCTTACTAAAAATACTGGCAATTTTCCAGTTCATTAAGGATTAGCTCAGATCTGATGCTGCTGGCAAGAAATAAGCTATTAGAATACCAATAGCAAAATATTTAACTTAACTAAAAAAATCCCTACTGCTTACAATAATAATAATTATTGTACTGTACTGCTTACAGTAATAATAATTATGGTTTTGGCAGAAGCCATTTCTAGTTTTAGTACATATGCACCTAAAGGAAAATTGTTCTGTCTCTTTACTGCTATAGAAGCTGTCTTGGTCAATTAACTTACTGATATCTAAACACGATGTTTGCAATTTTTACCATATTTGTCATGATCAAGGTATTGAAAGCTTGAGATATTTTTAAGCTGGAAGTAGTCAAGAGAGAAGGCGGCCCTAGAAGAAAAATAATGCTGTATTTGAATGAGAAAATAAGTCCTCACCTAAGCGATTTTTAAAACTTATTTAAAAAATAAGTGATTTTTAAAAACACTTCTACCCTTCTCATTCTAGGTAATGAATGCTGAACCAAAGTATCTGATGCACGAGGTGACTTTCAGTAGGTGCAAGTATGCAGCTGCTCAGAGGACCAGGGAGATGTGTGGAAGAGCAATGGAGGGTCTAGCAGCTCTGGAGAGTTATTCAATTACATTAACTGCATCCACACTGTGGAGTGGTCGCATTTGCAGCTGATGAAAAGTATTTCATCAGCAGTAATACCTATGTAAGATGAAACTTGATGTGTCTAGATGGGGATAAGTAAAGAAGAATAAGCAGAATAACGAAGATAAACCCACAGAATGCCAACTACCAACTTTTTCCTCCAAGTATACAGCTTGTTCCTTGCATACAAGGGAAGCATCCTGCATGAATCAGACCCACTACTTCAAACTACTGCAGAGTCTGGGCCAGAGACACCGTTTTTCCTTTGCTATTGTTTCCAGGTCTTGTTTTGTGAGGGGAAGATTGTTGAGTTTTTAAACCGCAAATATCTTCAGTGTGCCGTTTCAGCCAGTGATAATGACAGCATCAAAGCAAGTGTCACTGCCAGCCCTGCTGGGATGCATCTGCATGAAAGATCTGGAGACTTTACCACACTGAAACATGTCTCTCTCCCCCCTCTCTCTGCTGTTAAGGATTAAACCCACCTGGCGCTTACATGACAAGAAGAATAAAAAAAATAAAAAAGAAAAAAGGAAATGAACCAAAAATGATCTAACTTTGTGAAGACCTGAAGATCATTTCTGTGAAGGAGCTGATCTATATAATCAGAGGCTGGCATGTAAATTATTATTTACAAATCAGCTTGCTACTCTTTGGGCTTGATACCCCTGTGTTTAAATTATTGCAATACATATACAGTAGCAATATTACCAGTTATAAATAATATACTGCTTTTGCTAGCAGTATGTGGACTCAGCTGTTGACACATGTATTGCATATATCTCCAGTAAAAAATTCCCAAAAACTAAAGTCTGTTCAGAAAATGCTCTGTGGAACAAAGAGAATAACTGTAGTCATATTTATACCTTGTCCAATGCTAACACTTCCTCTGAACTACAAGTATGTGTCCGTTTCTTTTATGCACAACCACTTGGGCAGAAGAGATCAGGATTTTTGCATTTCCAAGCATAGCTTGTGAATTCTGCAACTTGCTGCCCTGATCTTTTTCCTGGTTTTGAGGTTTATAGCTGTTTGCTTCTATTACCTTTAATTAGTACTAATTGGCCTACAAGGAAATTCTTGGGCTTGCGTTCTGCTACGTTTGCATGTTCTGCTTCCTATTCTCACTCTCTCCTTTATTGCAACTTACTCGAAGGGGTCGCTGGGATCAGCTCTCTGGAGCTCTGGTGGAATCGGTATTCTTTTGTAGTACATCTCCCAGTCAAAAGCTCCTCGCATGGCATCCCCCGCCTGTGCCTCGTAGCCAAAGTGATTGTGGTCAATGACATCGATCATAGGACACACGATGGTTTTGTGGTTTAGTGCAATCTGGTCTGAAAAATGAAAGTAGAAAATAGGATGTCTAGTCATAGCATGTCTAGTCAAACCATCTATCACATTACTGCAAAGCGAATCCCACAGGTTTTTTGACGTTTGAAGATTGTTTGCTTCATTCCCTGTGGTCCCCAAATCATTTCATTTTTCAAATCTGTATCAAACCTTTATCTAAAGTGGACTTAATGCAGCTGGGCAACGATTAGAAGCAATTATAGTTCTTTAAAGGGGAGGCATAAACCTGTGAGACCCACAGGAGTCCAGTCATCTATATCTGTCACTTTGCTACTCTGAGCTGTCCCCAATCTGTCAGCTACGGAACAAGTCAGCAAGTAAAATATAAAAATACTCCTTCAGCAGTGTGGAGTGTATATGGCAAGATTCTGCAAGAGAGATTTGTGTTCTTTTAGCACCACGGTGTACCAGCTTTGGGGTCAAATGCTACAAATTGAAGACGAACTCCAACACTGGGAGCAAAATAGGCTTTGTGACCTTTTTTGTTTCTTGCTTTAAGGTATAAAGAAGTTCCTACCGTATTATTTTTACTCTTGCTTTTCAAAAGAACTTTTTTAAAAAAATTAGAAATCCCCATCCCTGGTGTAAGAGCAGGGTGACCCTGTAACTGCCTTTGGTAAATCCTATTGGTCAAACCTGCAGAGTTCCTCAGAGAGGAAATAACAGTAAAGAAGATATTCCAACTGCAAGAATTAAGTAGAAGAATAATGTTTTGAAATGAGGAGGTAGAAGAAAACTTTGTAGCTGCTTTGGCAAAAGTAGCATGAAAGGACACTATTAAAAACTGTTTATATTTAGAATTCTCAAAATTCCAAGTAAAATAAAACTTTTCCTCAAACTGTAGTCTCAGTTCTTCACAAAATTTAACACATTTTAGGGCCTACGTGGAGAACATCAGTTTTTTTAAGGATTTGATTTCACTGGTGCCTGACAATAGCCTAAAAATCAGAGGGTTGAGTGTAGAATAAAACTTAGTTAGGCAGCAATGTGATTATTAATAACACATTCTGCTCCCTTGCTTCTGAAGGAATACAATTTAAAAATGATTTTAAACAAAACATCTAGTTTTCATGTTTATTTTTAGTTGCTCTTCAGAGACTGTCCAAATGGGGGAACAAAGATGACTAGTGAGAAATTACTCTACCTGGAAGTTCAGCAGTTTTTTTATATTCTAATCCTTTAGTAGTGAAATAAATTTAAAGCACAGGCTCTCACAGAATTCTAGGAACCTCATCTAAGACCTAATAGCTGCATTAGTGTTAGCATTACCCGATATAATTACATTCACTGGTACACTATGTAGTGTTATCTGTAATCTTTACATAAAGTCATTTTTACATAATCTCTTTCCTGTGATGGTCCTCCTAATAGTTATAGAGCTTATAACAAGCTGGCTCTGATACTTCACTCTAAATTGATTGGAGGAGAGAAGCTAAATGGGATTGATTTGGCTGGAGTAGGTCAAAGTAGATTGCACATTAGCATCCTTCTCTTGATCTTTCAAAAGCCCTGTCTTTAAATAGCCTGCAGGACTGGAAATCTGAGTCACACGCAGAGACAGTTAGGGAGACTACTGTGTTAGAGCAATGCTCAAACTCCATGCCAGGCACCCTTCCCACAATACTACAAGATTTTTACATGTAAGATGGGGTTTACCTGTCTGTTCTTCCATGCATCTGCAGAACTTATTTCTCAAGCCCCAAAGATATTTTGCAGTTGATGGGGAACCATAAGAAGATCTCAACTTTTGAAGGAACCAGGGTATTACTTTACATACTCGTACACACCAAAAGACAAAGTAATCAAACTCTGATCCTTGGTGCTTCTTTCAGTATGCTTGAAATAATGAATTTTGCATACATACTTTTTTTGGTTTAAGTATCACCTCAGTATGAACTTAGGAAACAGATAAAAGGGCTGTAGGGCCAACTTGCATTTCACAAGAGCACTGACATCCTAGCTTAGCAGACACAGAAATACTGCTGCCTTTGCCACCCACCAATCTTTATCCCACCTGCTCTTAATGGAAGAGACTGCAAGCCACAGCTGAAACGCTTTACAATATCTTTTCCATTAGCTTTTCTCATCATCCTCACACAAATTCCTACTGCTCTGAAAATTTCCATACGTTATTTTCATGTATATATCCTGTGGATACAAGGAAGAACAGACAGGCATTATCATATATGCACAAAACTTGCAGAGTTGGGGGAAGCCAACAACTAGCCCTAACAACCGCTCTTTCAGAAGTGTCTAGCAAAATATATTCTTTTTTTGAATTCAGCACTTTTAAGATTAAGCCATGTGCATATATGTGGCAATAAACACAAGTTCTCAATATTGCCTCTTGAGCCACTACCTCAAGAATGTGGGCTTTGTTTTCCTGAGAAAGTTGCATCCTTTTAATTTCAGTTGCTTGTTTCAAATTGGCCTGGTTAAAGCAACGATGCCACCTTGCAAATATTCTTATTTCACTACACATAAAACTTGATCAAAGATGATGACAACGTCTGAGTCACTCAGCATGTTATCTTTTGTTATCCGATTTGTCATCAGTATTTGTGCTTGTGCCCTCAGCCTTCCCTACTGGCAAGTAATGTACTCATATAATGCTTGTGGAAATGGACAGCTATAGCTAGCAGGTAGCTGAAAATTTGATTAGATTAGTATAATCTAACCATGATGTAACTTTTAAGTCTGGGTCAGGGGAAAAAAAACTGTTTTGGTACACCTACCTCTGGTAACCCGAAGGCACTACTGACCTATGGTCCATCTCTCCTGTCTTAATGCTCCTGCAGCACCATCAGCAGAGGGAAAGATGTGCCTGGATCTTTCAGCTCATTCACTTTTCATTTTCTTACCTTAAACTTACGATGATTGCGAATTGGTACTGTGCTGGGTTCCCAACTACACCATCTAGCGCTCATGCCACATTGTTCCTTTTGCTGACATTATATTACTGAGAAGTGATAAGAAACACCTGTGTTTGCCAACATTTCTACATGACTACTGCTGCCTGCTCAGTGAACTTTAGGCAAAGTTCTCCAAGATCTCAGTTTAAGAGTGGCTTATCTCAGTTTAGAAATCCACTTAAGCTAAACAAAGCAAATATAGAAAGCTTAAAGAAAATACAGAAAAGCTATTTTGTACCTGTTTTTAATAAAACAAAACAAAGGACTTTAATAGAAATGAGTATATTTTTTTCCACAGAAAACACCTATGGCTCAGCTCCTCAAAGCTATTTGCATACCTAATGAGTACTGAACTCACAGAGACTTTTTTTGGTCTAAAAATGATAGTAAATTCTGAAAATACGAGTTAGATTCCTAAGTGACTGAGAATTGGCTCTAAGTCATTCTGCTTTTTTTTACATCCTCAAACTTGTGAGGTCTCATTTCTGAAAATGAATTTTGAAACAGTGAAAAACACCTCCCTGCTCAGTGAAGATCAAGTCTTCAGTCTAGAGCAGAGCTCAACTGGGCTCTTGCTGAGGACTTTTCACTACGTGCGGATGATACATTAGAGATAAAGTAGGGCATCTTCACAGCAATAAATATCCAATATAGCTTCTGTTTTTGTTTCTGCTAATGTCATTCAGTTAAACAGAGGCTTGAATGAATCACAAGATAGATCGTGAGATAAACACTAAAAGATAAAAACATATTAACTTCACTATTATTAGTAGCTAGATTTCAATATAACAAATATTTTCCATTTAATGGTTCTGAAAATGTTCTCTCTTCCCTTTACGAAAACAAGGCATAAGGCATTCTGAAATATATTAGTTGCGTGTTCATCCTCTATTTGTCCTTCTTCATGTCATGCTTTATTTTTTCTTTCAAAATAAAGCCTATTGATCTCAGGCTCCAGTGTTCCTCATGATTAACTTCTAGATCCTCTGGCTGGTTAGCTAAGGGTATTTCTACTACATATGGAATGAGAAAGATTACATTGCACTTGAGAACCGGGGAGAACTGGGTCTTGTTCCCTCATTAAGCATGTCTAATCTCGACAATTGTGTGGCCTGAGGCTGAGGGCTGTGATCATCAGTTTAATACCCAACTGCAACCTAAGTGCAATTACAAATTCTTATCTGCCTATTCTATGTATTTCTTAGTCTTTATAGGGTCAAACCCAGTTAGATGCATCTTTGCTTCAGAAAGAGAAGGGAAGAAAAAGAAAAAAGCTTGTAATTTTCCTATCGTGTCTAAATCAGCAAAATAGAAGGGTTACATCTCTCATCTGCAGTAACTTAGCGGAAGATATCAGAGGCCAAGACCGAGAACCTTCTTAAATTTTTTACACTAGTGGTGTATATAGTGAGAGATGTATTTGGTACCTTAGGACAAAATCAGAGGGCACAGGAAAAGGGGGCTGTATAGACAGAGTACATCCAGAGTGTTCAACTGCTACTTGTCAGAGCTGCTCGTGAAAGTCTTGCTGAAACTCCCATTTCCCTCTGTCCCGTTATGCCATCTGCCATTTGGGCTTTACGTAAAGACAGTGAGGTTATTTTTAAAAATTCTAATGTTGTGGTTAAGGGGAAAATGGTAACAAGGGAATAAACTGTACGTGTAATTTATTTGGAAGGTAGGAAGGATGCAAGTTTGGAATTTTGGAACCATCTTGTTACTGATCTGAATGAAGAACAGTTACTGTTCTTCTATCTCAAGGTGCACGGTTCAGAAGAACAGCACTTTTTCTTGGCTGCAGATGACCTATCAGCATATTGTGCTGCTGAAAATGTCCTAGCAACAAAATTCAAGAAATGATGACTGTTAACAAGGGGGACTCTACCCTGTCACGTACTTACAAAGTATTCTTTTAATTAATACAAATTTCTTTAATAGCTACTTCTGAAATGTTGTTTTTGCTACCAAAAAAGCACTCGCTTTACAAAGCACATACACTTTCCATGTAGTCAGGTGCGTAGAAAAGGAGATACTGTTTCTTGACTGAAATCTTAGACTACAACAATTGATTCTTTCCATTCTGTTGACTAATGGAACTTTGCCGGCTGTAGCTGGAATCCAGCAAAGCAGTCAATAGCAAATCATTCTTTCTGAGCTTCCTATTGTGAATGCAGTTGTTATTGGATTTGACTCAGAGGTCTTGGATACATTTACAGCAAAAGCTGATTTAATGGAATGCAGAAGAGTAGGAAGGAGTACAATATCTGCATAACAACAGCTTTCGGGTGTTTAGTATGGTCATTACATAATCCTAGATTTAGTGGCATGTTGTAATAAAATAAACTGAACTCCAAAACCTAAGATAGGCCAAAGTGATACTTCAAAATTTTACTAGTACTTTAGTCACAAGACCACAAAATTAAGACGCTCAGGTTCCTCTGTGTTCTCTCCATACTGACTCTTCAGTTACTAAGAAACCAGCATATATAAGAGCGAAATTATGTCAGTGATATTCAGCAGTGTCTATGAAGGTCTGCACACCCCTGTGCTTGGGATCACAAAGTTATCCCAGCCCCACTGTGTGCAGCGTGTGTCCTGCTTGTCGCAGCACATGGCTTTGATGGCTGAAGCTATGCCGTATGCTTTAATTTGAATGGCTGATAAATGCTCATACACTTACTAAGCAAGGGAGGCAGCCAATTCACGTTGACTTCGCAATGGGAATCCAGAAATGTCAAGACTTCTCCTCTAGCCAGCGAGGCTCCTAGCAGTCTGGTCCGAATGAGACCTTCTCGTTTCTTGGTACGCACAATCCTCACTTTGGCAAAACGGAGCATGTATTCCTCCAGCTTCTCTTTTAAATGTTCTAGAAAGAAGGGGAAAAAAGTGTCAGTGGTGCCAAGCCTGGAGGAGCCAACATCAGGACAGGTTGCTGCATAACCTGCAAGCACCTAACCCACTTTTATCTCTTGTCAATTCAGGTCCTCCAATATCTGCCATAAACCCTGTCTGAGATGGTTCATAAAGTGTGAATGTTCTGTTTTAACATATAGAGGAAGACACTGACACTCTAGATCTTTCACTGCAGTTACTACTGGCAATCAGCCACCCATGATATAATCATGGCCAAAACAACTGCAGGATACTCATCCATCCTCTGCTTCTCATAGCCCAAGGCCAGATGAACATTCTGGCATATGGTTTTATAAACAGTGTCCTTTCCAAGTGGGCTTCCTTTATCAACTAATTACGAAAAAAAATGCAGGGAAAACAATTCTTAAAAAGTAACCATTACATTAACATGATTAGATTGTTTTTAGGTAAGGAAAGGGAAATAGACATGAAACGAGATCTTAACAGTTGATTCCAGCTTGAAGCAAATGGACAGCTCACTTCCTAATAAAATTAAGCTGCAAACGTAGAGCAGTTGATAGATTCTCTTATCTGCATTACCTGGCTCTGTTTGTATCAAAAAAGAGCACATTTGGGAACCACTTTTTTCTAACTAAAAACAAACAATAAGAATGCAAATAAAATCCCCTACAGTTTCACCTCTTCCTGAATATGTCTACAACAGAAATACTAATCTTTTGCCCCGGATATAACACATCAGCTTGTCAGATCGAAAAATTTGGTACCTTTATTTGGCAAGAAAAGAAGATACAGGATTTCATGTTAAAATAAAATGAAGCTCCACTGAAATAGAGCTTCCTGCACATGCTCTCTCTTGTCTCTGCTCCTTTCCTTCCTAACTGATCAATACATAATACTTTCCAAATCTATCTGTGGATTAGGAAGTAGAAGAAACACTGAATTGTTGGCATGTTGTTGGCAAACATACCTGGGTAGGAACAAATTGCGTGGACTTATTGGGAGACTACTGCGTGGGGTACTTCTCAGAACTAAAGAATCCTGACGTATGCTGACACGGTAGAACACCCAGATTTTCATTCGGAAATAAAGAAAAAGAGGTATCCCTTTTTTCATCCCATTTGCCACTTTGTCTGCTCTATACCCAATAAAAAAAAATACAATCCCCCAACAGTCACAATGACAGTAGGTGTACTGTGTCTTTCAACAATGATTTTTGTATGATCAACCATACTTATAGGAAAAGGGCTGTGTGCCACCCTGACTCATTTTAGGTAGGGCTACAATTCAGTATCATGACTGAATTGAGGCTAAATCAAGTCTTAGATCACTTTGTACCCACATGCAAGACTGTCTAAAATATATATTTATTGAACTGCTTTTCTGTTTTCATGAGCTCTATTGAGGCTATTCCCACAGCACAGGAACATAGGAGAAGGGAATTAGACCTTAAAAACAAAGATATAAATGTGCCTTGCAGCCAATATAAAAAAGTCTGTTAGCACTGTCAGTCTGTTTTTTTTTTTTTTCCCATGCTCTAAACTGTATCATCTTATGACTATGAAAAATGAAGCAGTTTCAAAGTGATGGGTTATTTACACATTTCCAAAGTAAATCATATCAAATTTGGTTGCTGTAATGGCTTCTGTAGTCTTGATACTCCGTGGAAATTTCCTGCAGCACTCTGAGGTCATCTAACCCTTTCCCATCTGATCTCTTCCACCCACAAGCCTTAAGTTTGTTTGCACTGGTACAGTACATAAATCCCTAGTTAAGAGCCAAGACCACACTGATGCATACTGTACAGACAACTAATAAAAAGATATTCCCTTCCTATGGGACAGCAGGAGCAGTGAACTCAGACACTTGCCTACCCTCAGACACGACTTCACCGGTGAGACTCTGTGGCTGATCAGAGGACCCTATGATGCAGCTCTGAATTTGGGAAACCTACTGATACGATTGCTTTACAATTCCCTGTTAGTTGGCTTTATGCAGTTTCCCTCTTTAATGTGAGAGAAGACAGCTACCAAGGAAATTCCTAATCTCTCCGATGGGAGCCTCACTGAGACCTTCTAAGTTGTTCATCGTGAGGGCAGGCTCTCTGCTGCCTCTGCAGAAACTCAAGACATGGCTGAACCAGGCTTTTATTACTTAGGTGTCACAATGGCCAGGTAAAGGCACTTGTAGTATACAGTTTGAATATGGCCACTGATGTTTAATAGAACAAATGCAAATGCCATTTCATGCAGTCTGCCTGTTATCACTGGTCTTGGACTAAAAAAATTCAGTGAAATTTAGCCTCATACAAAGGACTTCATTTCATTCCTTTCACATGTATCAACAAGATAACATCCACTCAAATTCTGAAAGCTGAGTGCTCATCTCTTCATGAAAACACTTTAGAGAGAAACAATGCATGCTGCCATATTACAGTATGTTCCCTTCTGTACTTATATCAACTGTTAAATAACAAAAGACCTGAATAACATCATTTGATTGTCACCAGTTGTATATGAGCTTGAATTCCATGAAAAGAATGATAGTTCCTTCTGTTCCTCCATTGCTTCAGGTTCCTTGCAAACCCAGGCTACGAGCTCTCTCAAATTTTAGATATTTTTAATTTTTTGCTCTGAGTAATAGCTGCGATTCCGTAGAACAAACAACAGCTCTCTACTGCTGTTGTCTTCCCTCTCAGATAGCTCTTTACACATTTCAGACTGCATGTTGTTTGATTCATGAAGAACTGCATTAAAACTTCCAGCATATCTTTTGATGCCAAAATCACATTTCCCAAAATCATTTTCACCTACTCAATTAGTCCCATTATTGAATCATTTCAACTCCTTGTGGTTCAAAGAACAACTCACAGAAAAGCAGAAGTATGCGCAAAAAAATTACATGTGTCTTGTTCACGCTGAATTTTAAGTACACCTTCATTTAGATTTGTATCTGGAAGTAATTAGGAAGAAAACAAAAGTAGTAAGAGTTAACTTTTATAGAGCTTAGTTAGACAGCTAGCATAAAAACAACAGATCTATATACAACGGAAGTATATGGATTACTAGAGATACGTAAACTATCTAGATTTGTTAAGACAGTCACATGTTAGTAATAGTCTAATAACAAGTTATCACGTAGTCACACAATATCTATCACGTCTTTAGTTTTGGGATTTGGCCAAGAAGAAAGATTGGAAAATTATTTGGGAAAAATTCTCAGTAATTATAAAAGCATCATATAGTAGTTAACCTCAACAGCAAACTACAATGTGGTTTTGAGACTGAAAATATCTTAAAATTGAAGAAAAAAACTTTTGGATTCATAAATAATAATCTTTTGTTAACTTAAATCAATATAAAAATGTTCTGATACTGCATTTTCTCTTCCAATGTCTTGGGACACTGTCTGGTTCTACTCTTACCAATCTCTAATAGCATAAAGAAACACAGAGCAACAGCCAGAGGGAGCAGAACAGTAGTAGCTATAAAAGAAAACTGTAGTATTTTTTACTATTTATAAAAGTATTAAAAACATCCTTCATGTTGAGCTGCTCATTAAAGCCACTCACAGTACTGAATATACTGGCATTACCGTGGGTGAGACTCTTTAAAGGAAATAGTAACATCTAATAACAGCATTCCTACAGGAGCTGCAGTCAGTGGTCAGCTTTAAAGACTAGCTACTTTGTAGATGCTAGAGCCAGTGGTCATAAAGGTATGGATAGTCTGACAAAGACGATACCTAGAAGTTTCACAGATCAAGTACTGCTTAAAACAGACTGGACAAGAACTGAGAACTGTCAGTGTGGGAATAATTTTGGTTAACACAAGATCTAGAAGGTGTTTGTCATTAATAACAAATTTTGACTTTTTAACCTTGCCTTTTTCCAAAATACCAAAATGAACTGCTGCTTTACCTAGAACTCCATAAATATCCTTCATAGAAAAAAAAACAAATCTACTTTTTGCTTCCTAGAGTACAATTATATTTTATTACAGTTCCTAATTATTATGTTGCTAATATTATCTCCAGAGGAAGCATCTCACAAAGATAACCTGTATATTATACATACACATTTAGAAGCAAGTAAACTCAAGTATTAAGTAAACATGCATCAATCAATGTTAGAGCAAACTATAATTCTGAAGAAATTCTCTAAAAGAAATTATAACGTGCTGTGCAAAATAGAAAGCAAAGTGAAGTAAAACGGCCTTTAAATCTCAGGGAGACAATACATTCAGTCCATTTATTACCAAAGGAATCAGTTCAAGCAATCCTGCCATGACAATAAAACAAGAAGGTAGGATGGTTTCATTTATATGCTGTAATATTACATAAATTTCACTTTCAGAGTTAGGCATGAGAGAGAAGCCCGTATTTAAATTCTACAGTGACCTATAAATGGTGCACTTTGGATGTAAAGAAGCCAAAGCTCTTGTCACTAGTTATGGGGAGTAGATGTCTAATTTGTAATTTAAAAAGAAAATATATCACTATTTTCTTCACAGTGTTGATCAAATTAACTTATAAATCATATGTTGGATACATGCCAGGCATCTGCCAGGGCAAGTGTTGGCACAGGTGGTGACAAATAAAGAGTCATGCAGGGGCAGGAAGTTTATAGGCTGTCACTGGTATGACAAGTGATAATAAAGAGCAGCATTATGTCTCCTCTAGTGATAGTCTATAAACAAATTTCCATTGTAATTCCTTTTTGTGGGTCTCCCTGTATAAAGTCTGGAGAAGTTCTTATTAAAGAAAGTAGAGACACAATTGTCTGGTGTTAGTAATTAAAGAGCTGCTCAAGCAGATTACCCCATTATTTAATTGGGTGCCCGGAAGTAAATTTGAAAGCAAGGCTCTGCCTTTGACAGGAAAAACAGCAGTAATAAAAAATAGAATTGCAATTCTCTCCTGCTTGGGTGCATACAGAGAATGCTTCATCATACTGGTGCCCCCTGGCACCACAGGTGCTATGGGCTATATGACAAG